CATAGTGATGGCAGAGCAAGCAAATCAGACCTTTCCTATTCCAAAATTCCTTATGTATAGGCTTGACATGCAGGAACGGCGAGAGATATGGTGCTTCTATCAGAGGAAGTCTAGAAGGGCGCAGGGAAACCCTGGCACGACCAACAACAACTACCTGCTTTCCTAACAAGAAATCAGGAGGGATGGGTGTAGGGATAGGCTTAATCCAGTAGTTAACCCAGCGTGCTTCTAGGGAGGACCAGAGCTTCCTATCCTGAGCGGCAATAGCCCAATCGTGGGGGGAATACTTGGATCTGATAAGGACAAAGACCTTCTGAATCTTTCGAGCATCAAGGTCCACCACTGTTGCGGGTTTGGTCCAACCCTTAAGGACCCGAAAGGCACTAACACTGCTGATGTACATTCGGATAGGGCTAACTTCCCGTTCTCTAGACGCATGACCCCAAAAGGACCAATATCTCTTAAGCCACTGCAGACTCCATTGGGGCATCTTAGGGAGCCTTTCGCATAGCAAACGTACCGCTCTGCGCCTAGAGACTTCATTGGATACCCAGTCTAGAAGGGGGTCAGTAGGGAGCCTCAACAGGCTAAGGAGAAGGGTGTTACGCATCGCGTCAACCTTCTTAAGCAGTCCTACAGTTGGGAACACCGCCGGGGAGGCCCATAACCAACGAGAGCTAATATAAGTCTGAAAAATAGAGACCTTGGTATCTAGGGCCGCTGTGGGGGAATCCATTAGTTTCTTGAAGGCGTAGTAACTACTCTGCGTCTTACGAAGACAATGGAAAAGGACATCCTCCCCTGTCGTTTCGTAGCCTAGAGGAATGCCCAGAAAAACAAACACGTCGGCAGAAGCAAGTGGTTGCGGATGACGTAGCCCCCAAACTCCCGGAACCTCTCTATTAAGCCCCTTAAGGACAGAGCACTTACGCAAATTGAGGGAAAGTCCAATGGAGTCCAAAGCTCCTTGAACTAGCCTAAGTCGCCACTGAAGTTCCAATGGACTACGTCCAAACAGGAGAATGTCATCTGCATACATAAGGAGAGGGGGGACGTAAACCCCATGAATTTTGATAGGTTCATGCTCCAGGCTACTGATAAAGGGTTCCAGAGCCCATACAATGACTTTGCTAAACAGCTCTGCACTGTAAGATGTGCCCTGAAGTATGCCCCGTCCTAACTTCTGCTGCCAACTCTCTCCACCCACTTCCAACACAACTTCATTATCGGCCAAAAGCTTCCAGAGAGCATATGTGTCACGAGATGGTGTAGCTTGCATCAGGTACTGAATGACAGCATGGTGAGAAAGAGAATCAAACGCAGCACGAATGTCTAGCTTAGCAAGATATAACGGAACTCTTGCTCGCGAGCTTGCAAGTATTGCTGCCCTGGCCGAATTAATCCCATCCATGGCTTGCCTGCCCGGCTGACACCCAAGTTGAAGTGGATGACAAGGAGGGGTGAGACTACGCAGGCGATGAATCAATACTCTACCAAACAATTTAGCGCAAGTGCAAGTTAGACAAATGGGACGAAGATCGGCCGCCCCGACGGGAAGCTTAACTTTGGGGAGGAACGATACTCTACCTCTACGCCAACTTGCAGGCACTTCACCCGTGCTTAAAATATCATTAAAGAACTTGCAGAAGGCGTGTTTTAATTCCGAATTAAGAATGCAGCGGAGCATGCTGTATGGAACGCCATCCTCTCCCGTACAAGTACGATCATCTAGCTTGGACAGATGGCGAAGCAACTCATCACATGTTATTGGGGGGGAAGCTGCAGCCGCATGTCGCTCCCTTAATTTGTCCACAAACGGTTCTATAGGTGTGGAATCTATAGCATCATACTTCGCACGGTAGTGGACGGCAACATCTATCTGAGCTTGAATTGCTCCCCCCGCGCGCTGCAGAAAACCCGCATCTGTAGAGGAAGCTGCCGAGCTACGTTTCAGAAAACCGATAGCTGACCTATCTCCACTTTGCGCTAGTTCTAGCAGTGCGGTCTTGTGATCGATCCTAGCCTGGAGCCTGAGCCTATGAATATCGCTCACAAGTCTATCTCGCTCAGCAGGATCCTGACTTTCCTTCCGCGCCGAAATGGCTGCTTTAACATTTGGCGGGTCCCTGTATCTGTGAGACATCGGCTTACGCACTGTAGCTTTCCGAACTTCCTCTAAAGTGTCCAAATCAAAGCGACCGTTTCTTGCGTTCTCGATTACCCTATTGAATTCTGTAGTGTCAGTCTCCCATCTACCACATAAGGTCTTCCTGTACAACGGCCTAAGGAGAGGGACCTTAGATGAACAGGACAACTCTAGGGCATTATGGTCACTAGGTAACGACAACCTAAGCGCGCTGCTATTGTGCACCTCAAAGTGCACTCCTGTCCCTCTCGTAAACAGGAAGTCGATCTTGGACGAGCAGTTCCTAGCAAACCACGTATCTCCTTCAAAGGCCTGTGCCCTAAGGTCGTGCTGACAAATAAGTGTGCGGAAATGTGGCATTTCGGGGAAGGAATCATAATGCAATGTAAAATCCTGGTTTAGGTCCGTAGAGAGCAGCACCAGGTCCTCAGAGCCAAAAGACGATAAACGAGACGAGAGTTCGTTGGAGGATCTTTCCCAGACTTCTCGCGCATCCGGTCTTTTACTATGGGGAAAGTGCATAGTAATTAAATGGATGGGCTTCCCCTTTTTAGGCCGAACCGAAAGGGCCAACCCCGCAGACATGGCAGTAGAGGAGTGAACTACTTCCGCAAAAGGCTGGCGAACTGCTATGCACAAGTGTCTAAAACAATCCGCCGCGTCAACGTGGAAACAAGAATACTGGTGTTTTCCTGCCTTCACGGTTAGGTGCTGTACTTCGTGGGCGGGGCCCTGACCAAGTCCTCCTACTTCTTGTAGGAGCAGGAAATCTGGGGTGGTCGTAGCCCCTTCTATAGCATCCAAAACATCCTGTAGCGATTTACCACGGACATTCCAATGCAAAAACCGTGCATCACGAATTCCATAATTAACCTGCTTTCTTTTTGGTGCTGCTTCGTCCCTGCCTACCTCCTAACCCTGGAACCGATTGAGCACCTCATTGGTGCTTGTTCCCAGAAGCCTGGCAACCACAGCTACATCGACGTACCAGCCATTGTGGTTTCCCTTAACATCCGTGTGCATAAAATGTTCGGAGGGCGCCGGCTTATCGGAAGCATGAAACAGAACGTCCTGAGCATCGAAATAGACCCTCCCTTTCCAGTCAAACTCTGTGCGTTCCGGTCCGCCCAATGCTTCAAGGACATCTTTGGTTCGCAGTATGCTCCTAATCTTCTGCCTTTCCTCAGGGGACCTATTACGTTGAATCCAAAGCTTGGCCTGTGTTTGGCCCGGGATGCTGCTCTTCACATAAGCGCTCTTGAGCGCCTGGAGTACTTGTCCCTGAATTTTACGTCTTTCAGCAAGGTCAGCACGGTCAGGAAAATGCAGCACAATCCGCGCAATATTACTACGTGTGTACGGCACATAGACTTCCTGAAGTAGTTGGGCTCCCTGCTGAGTCTCAAAGAAATCTGTGATCTCCTTCTGAATTTCAGATCTCTTGGCGTTAACATACCCCCCAACTACAATCTGAAGATCGTCAACCGGTCTTCCACCAACCGAAGAGGCCGTGGTCGAGCCCAATCCCCTAGTCGTCTCTCCTCTTAACATAATAGGTGAAACTGATCGGCTCTTAATGTTCGCTAATTCCCTCTCGAGCTGCACTAGGCGGCTTTCATGATCAGTGTGCAGGTTCTCGTGGTGCTCGGTGCGTGTCTGCAAGGTAGTGAGCATGGCTCCATGTTGCTTTGTAGTCGCGGAGCAGGTCCCTATCTCTTGTATGAAGAGGTCCTGTTGTTGAACTAGTCTAGTGATGTCAGCCTGCAGCGCGGGGAGCCAAGGAGGAATGTGATTGCTCGGGTCCGTTGGGGGGCCTCTGGTACCTTCCAAATATGTGCCCAGGCCTGTTTGGGGATGTAGGGGCGCGCTCACTGGTTCTGCTACCTGCGGTGCCACATGGCCTGGCTTGGATTTCCCTACCTGAAAAATACCGTCGGCTCCTGTTGCTTGCACTGAATTAGCCCCATGAATTACTTGATTAGAGGGTTCTGCAGAGCTAGACCCTAAGGTGCCCGCTCCTGGTGCATTTCCAAACAAGGTTCCTGCAAAGTGTGGAGGATGCAATGCACTTGCATGGGGGGCTCTAGCATGATCCGCAACATGAGAAGTGCCCAAGTCTCTGGTGACCCCAAACTCTGGACAATTATTTCTTTCGAAGGCCTCAACTGCGGCTTTCTCTACATTGTTAAGTTCATCATCGTCGAGGTCTCCCTTAGTCAGGTCAAACTCCGGGATCACATCCTGGCTTACGGGTTGTGTGTGCACACGCCTACGAAGAGGGGAATCTGTTTGGCCTTCCAACGCTGCTTGTTCAGCTGTCCGTGCCCGTGTGCTGTCCACATGCATGGGTGCTCCTGTGTTGGTGGTTTCCAATGCTGCTGGGGCTTGTTCTGACCCCAAAGCTGCTGCAAGGGCTTCTCTGCTGGCTGCTACCATACGGGGCGACGGCGGTGCTATGAATTCATTGGGGTGACCTTCTGGTGGGGCTACATATCCTACGCCTGCTCCCTCCAACGGGTCTCCAACGATTCCTGCCAAAAGACCTTCACCTGACATACCTAATATGGCTCAGAACAAAGCAGCTGCAGAGCAAGCTGAAAGCGGAGCCCGTCTGCTGAAGCCCCACAAATACCTAGAGAGAGAGAGACGAGACAGGGGAGGAGGGGGAAAGGCGAGGGCTAATGTTCTCCCTACACTGGCGCAGGCAGCGGGGCCCCCGAAAAGACCACGACGCCTTGAGCCAAAATGGCTTGAGCCAAAATGGCTTTAGGGTTTAGGGGCCCTAACCCTAAACCCTAAACCCTTAAACCCCTAAAGCTGCTCAACTGAAAGACTGCGCCGTACGGAGTCGGGCCTGCGTGCGTCGCCTGGCAACCATGGCCTCCAGCAAGTCCTGCCCGGCTTTTCGAAACAAAACGGAGGCCGACATATGAACTACGGCTGATGGACAAAATCCTGAATGACCTTATATACCTAAACTATGGAATTTATGGTACTATACTATGTTTGGGTCTTGCAGAATTTTGTCCATCAACAGTATCACACAGAAGCATACATTCAAAACCCTCGCAGAGCAAGGTGTGGGTACTCGACACGAACCAGGACTCTGATCGGACACGGCATTCTTTGCCCAAGCTGATCGCATCCCTTGCCTCCTTCTGCCTTCTCTTTTTGAACCCAGACTCTGCTGATCAGCTGGGAAGCAGCACTGCATGATCTCACACAACCCTTCATCAAACAAAAACACAATACAGTCACCCTTTCAAGTCTCCTGACACCTGTGTGCCCTAAACCTCTAAACCCTTTTGCGTCCGACCCTAAACCCCTAAAGCCCATAAACCCTAGACTGCTGTCCTTCCAAGGGGCCGAGCCACCGGAATCCCGCAGCGCCTCCTCGGCGGCTCGCCGCCACCCAGGCCAACCCTCGCCAGAGAAAAAAAAAAAAAACGGGTTCTTGTTAAGGGGCTTAATTTAAGCTACCACCATATTATACCTATTATGGTAACTTAGATCATTATACCTATTATGGTAACTTAGATCAGATCCCTTAGCAAGAACTGGGGCAGCAAAAGGCTGCACGGGGTGGCACAGCTAAGGGCTCCTAAGGGCTAATTCAAAAAAATCAAGTTCTTTTCAATATATGGGTAGTTGTCAAAATTATGGTCCCTTTTAGGGTACTGTAAGATCAAGGACTCACAGGTGG